AGATAGCACCAAATGCACCAATATAAGCACGAACTGCACCACAAAGCACCACATATAAGCACCACCTCACTGTACTGAAACAAGAGATTACAGCTAGAAAGCAAGAAGGCACCAAAGAGAACGAAAGCGCACCTAATCCGACGAGCGGACGGTTGGACTGAAGCTTCTTCGTGGCCGCGGCGCGCTTATATGCCTATCATATCTATGTTGTGAAATCTCCGAGAGAATTCTGTAGAAGTGGTAATGGATGGGAACGGATAGACTGTAAACAAAGATGAATTTTCTCTACTATACAACTTTGAAGAATAAGACTTGCACAAACTTAATTCTAAAAAGACCTACAGATGATAAATGTTTATCACTTTGTGATAGATAGGTCGGCAATCGGCAACTTTTACTAGATCTTCGGAAAATCTCTGTGCTTTAGCCATACCCAGCCGGTTGGTGGGACGAATTACACGTGCGATTGACGTTCGAACGACGATACATATGGTATTTCATGCAAGCCTACCTTCCTACCTACCTCACCATATTCATCAGGTAAGCTGGTCAGCAAAACCGATTGCTTTATTAGAGAACTTCAATGTCGTCACGTGGATTATTCCCTGATTTTCCCTGATTTTGAGCTAATCCTCCAAGTTTGAAAAAGTTTTCCACAACGATCTCCATTATTTCCAGTTGGATTTCATTCTCATTGGGGCCACGAGCGATTCCGGCACGAACGATGCTCGGCGTGAACGCGCTGTTGGCGATGATCTTTCAATTCGGCAACATCATGCGAAATCTTCCCAGAGTGTCCTATATCAAGGCCATTGGTAAGCGCCTTTCCCATATTGTCTGTGTCTATTTGGGGGAAACACCAGACCGCTGGCGTTTTTTATCGACATAGGTTCAATTACCACTCACAAGTCTAAAGGGAACATTTTTGAAACAATGAAGAATATCATAGGAAAATTTTCTGTTTAATGCGATAATTCTTAGTCATTAATTTCTTAATCTTGTAAATGTTTTTATTATAATACTAATAATCAAAGTCTCTTTGTAAGGGTTACTGACGGTCCTAATCATGAATATGGCACTAATTATTCATGCTAACTCCATTTTGCGCGAATTTTGAAACGTCAACTCGAAATGCAAAAATTTGTCACCACGAGGAATCGAACTAGGGACCCCCTTTTGGTATTCAGAGGGCCGTTTCGGCCCCTATATCATGCAGAAGACTGTTTTAAAAAAGCTTGGCACCCCCTGAAAGACCTTCCTGGCGAGAAAGCAAGAGTCAGCTACGCGCGTCTGAGACTTGTCTATCAGATCATATCCTCCATTCAGCGTCAACCTTTCTAGACCCGCTCGACCCTCCCAGAGTAGAGTCATCTTTCGTGATTTCATTTCGGGAAAATATCTCTGGAATGGGAAGCACGTTTCAGTTATTCGGAATTCACCTCGAATTTTGGACAAATCGGGAATTTGGGCGGTCGCATTCTGTGAATGAGAATTTGCAGAAATCCTTGAAATTTGGGCAATTTTTGTTGCTTTCGTCATTATATCAACAGTTCTATGCATTATCTTTCCTCCCAGCCCCCTCCCCCTCCTCTCCCGCTCCCCTTCCCCTCACCTGCAGCGTACTTCTGAAAATTGTGAAGCTTACGAGTGTCCGTCATGTTCGGCCAGGGAAAGACACGATTTTGTGATGCATCACAATCATTGTTGGTTGAGGGGATGCCCTAATTCACGACCCACACCGCGGTTTAATCCTGGTTTCAGGCCCTAAGCTCAGTTATGATCGAACGGATTGTATGTGGAGCCCCCTGAGACGATTACACTGATTAGAACACTGATTGTTCCCGCAGTTTGTTTCATAGACAGATATTTTTTGATTTATTTGTTTATCTATCATGCTCAAAGCGCGCCATCAGTAAACAGGTACAGGTATGCATTCCAATGGCGTCATGATGCTGGACGGGAACAAAATCCGTGGCCCATTCCAAGAAATGTGGAACCCTACTGTTGTTATTGGTCTTTTGGCAGCGTAGAGTACTAGTAATGCTGAAGCAGCACACTGGGATAAAGGACGATTCCACAATAAGGACGAAGGAACAAGGGGAAACTTACTAGTGAAGAGATAGACGGACCTCTCGAAGGTGTGGACCGACATGCAATTCGCATCGAAGGATATGCCCCGGCGATCTAGCATGGCCTTCCCCGCGGCCCAATTGGCGCGCTATTGGCCGGTACGCCCCCTCTCGCGTCGTCTCGTGTCTGAGTCTCTAGCCGTTCAGCAGAGAGAGCGTTAGCGTTGAAGAGGGCAGCACGATGAGAGTCGCATCAATGCGCAAATCAACGGGCGGGAAGGGTCCCATTTCTCGGGTTCTAGGCCATTTTTCTCGGTTTTTCTTCTTCGTGCATCACTGACCATCTCTAACTTATTTTGAATGGCTGCCTTTTCATCGTGAAATCCGCGTTTGAGGTGCCCTCGTGAACTCTTACGGGTTATGGTAAGCAATCTGTCCGACTCGAACACAATTTTTTGGGCACCATTGGAAACCTTGGGAATTTCCCCACGCAAGGAAAAGAACTGCAGAATTCGTGTTGTAAAAGACTTTCTTCGGCCACAATTTTCTTCGATTACCAGTAATTGTTACTTCTTCTCTTCGATGACCTCCAAATAATTCCGTTTTTTCTGAAACGAATCATTCATCAAAGAATTGTACGCTAGTGATTGTTCTTTGTATCGTATAAAAGAATAATTACCGTGAGGTTACCTAGGACATAAATGTCTGGATTTGAGGAACTTAAGGTCACAAAAGATGCACCTGTTTTCCTTACAGATTTCACTTTTGCAGCATTTCTAGAGCCCACTTCAAACTCGAATTCATGACCACGTTCAGTTCATGTTGGGTTGATCCTCAATAAAGTCGCCTCACCTGGAATAAGTGGGATAGCTTTGGGGACATTGTGCTGAAGAGAAGAAAGGAGAAGCTGTGTAATCGATCCAGTCTTTCACCACTCGATCGCTGTTTTGAGAATGCGCCATGCACCCGACCTTCTTGCTTCACAAAACCATTTTTGAAATTCACGGTCTCCAAGTGTTGGATAGCAGCTTTCGAGAACGTGGGAAACGAGCTCCGCCAATCAAAGCTTACCCTTACCCCATATCACACTATTTCAATTTTGTCAAGGATATCTCTATGAATTTTATTTTACTATGAATATTCGCTCAACTTCATTATAAAATTCTTATATACACATGCATCGTGTTACCAAAGTAAAGTCTCAATGTGAGGCAGCAGCTTGAAACTAGTCAAGCTTGAAGACGCAAAAGGGTAACTGTATGACTTCCACTGGAAAGGATAACGGCAGCGGCAAAAAAGCTTGAAGGCAAAATCCAGGCAGAAGTCGAAGAGTGAACGAAAGTGTGAACGGATCCCTCCGGTCTGTAGGGTAGACTCTCATAGGAAAATCACAGATGTAGCACTCCTGTGCTTGAAACTCGCCCGACAAAAACTTTCAAAGATAGCTTCAATAGCTTCAATTTTCTCCGTCCCCGGTGGGCTGTTGTTTGACGTCCTCTCATCTTTCACGCACTCTCGCCTCATACCTCCTCTCAGTCCCTCATTGTCTCAGCAGAGCTGCATCGCGAAGGTTAGCGAGAAGTTAAGTTGGGCGTTTTTGACTGATTTTTTCCCTTTTTTCTTTACTGAAGGCCCATTTCGCACCAGCATTTTCATATTCGTATGCAAAACCACAATAGTTAGATCATACACGTGAATTTAAAGGCATAAGGCAGGATTAAGTGGTGTGGTTCGTGCACATCAATACGAATGTCTTGTCTCGGAAAGAGCCAGCAGTGAGAAAAAGAAGAGAAATTGTCGAAAATGCTTCTGTCATGGGCCACAACTTCGTAATAGGTTGTGATAAGGCAGGAAGAGACTGCGCGGAGAGTATGAGGCGAGAGAGCGCAGCAGATGAGAGGGCGCCAGACAACAGCCTGAAAAAAAAAAATTGCAGCTGCAGCAGCTTACTTTGCAAGGCCCTAGCGCTCTTGTCGGGTGATTTCCGTGCACGGAATGCCACATCTGTGATTGTCCTCTAGGGTCTATCCTACAGACCGAAGGAATCGTTCACACGACTCTGCCTGAGTTGTGCTTTAAACCAGTTCACGCTTTTATCAAGCTGTAGCTGTCAGAAATCGTTGTTATCGTTCTTGTTTAGACGTCTGGATGCTGATGTCGATGACGTTCGTTTTCTGTAGCCTGCTCGAATTGGCCATCGTCGGGTATAAGGTGAAAAACGAGGAAATATTGAAGAAACGCGGCTATGTTCCGAAAAAGGTACGCGAAAACTCAATTGGTGAAAACGGAGCGCTTCTTCCCTCTAATGTGAAAGACACGGAGAGATCCGTCTCAAAAAAAATCGTTCCTTTTTCAGACCGCTAATCACCATGTGAACATGTTCGAATCGTCGCCGGCTGGATTATGTCGGTACGAGAAACGATTTGTGTTGCCGATGGAACGAAGTGGCCTCGGTTGGACCCTGCTTTGTCGCCTTCGAGAGATACGCGATTGGCCACCGGAGAAAAT